GTCATAAATAAACCACGTCGCGTCTTACGCAATTTATGCTCGACTTTAAAGAAAATAAAGATTCTTTTGATCGCCATATAAAAGGGATGATCATAATATGAGTTACTGTCCTTCGACTATGAACATAAATTTAACTTTTTTAATAAATATCAGGTGGATCAAAACTGTCTTCTAAATGTTTTTAATAAGTCAGAGATACTGGTCCAATTAAATTTATAATAATTAAATTTATGTAATAGCAATTATGCTCGACATAAAAATAGTAATTTTAGTTTATAAAAAGTATGGTAAACCACAAAAAAAACCTGTTTAAGATTCATTAATTAATGAAATTCACACAGAAATTAAATCGAAAACAAACAAAAGCCGAAATTGTTTTAATTTCGTTGTTGTTTTTTTTAATTACCGAATAAATCCTAGCGGGCTGTTTTATCGAAATCCAGTTGCAGTAATATAAATAAAATTAAACTGTCAATCCGCACGAGCCACTGGTGTTCAATCTATTTGATAGACATTCAGTAATTACTCCACACCTATGAAGTCATAAATTTAGAGAGAAAGTGAATTCTAAAATGTACCCTAAAAAGTCGCTTAAAGGTCGGTCGTCCATTGTCTAGTGCCAAACGCACCGCACGCAACGCAACGTCGAAAGACAAAGCAAATCCGTTTAATCCGTGCATGCGGTGCGTCCGGCGCTGCCTAATGGACGCATGCCTAAAGCGTTTGATTCTTCCACTAAATAGTTTGTATTCCTATCCTTCAATAGTTTTTTTCTAGATAACAATTGTCACAAAACGACAATAAAGATTTAGCTTAATTTAACCGTATTACGTTACACGAAAGAGGAAAAAGATATAACTGAACGGTGAAAGACGTGAAACTATAGATAAAAGAATGCGACAGAGTTGAATAGTGCATATGTACGCTTTTTAGTAATACGTAAATATTTGCAGATATTCAATCTCTGCACTTGGTAGTTCTTTAAAGCGAAGTTGAAAATACATAAACGTCGTATCAAACAAATGAATATAAGCCATTAATAAATTAAAAACAAAAATTATATATTGAGTTACGGCTCATTAGAGCTATATTTTCATATGTTATTTCATACTTTATTGATGTGTAAATTTAGAAGACGAGACATGTTAGCAGTAAACAATACCTTTGGTAAACACAAACATACTTAGAAATATGTTTTGAGACATTTCCAGACGATTTATGCCGACCCACGCTATTTCTTAGACCTCCCTACCTATTTGTTATTGTTCCCTTGTTTACGTAGGCCGAAAATTAGTCAATAGGCAGACCTTAGCGTAAACAATTCATTACGCAACAAACTTGGTTCACCTTAACACTTTGTACTTGTCGAGCTAATTTCTTTAAGGGTACATACGTTGTCTATTTTCGACTCAGATATTAACAAAGGATATTATAATTACTTATATCGCAATATTGGCTCATCAAAGCTCAAAGAGTTAGGGAAGTATAAATCTATTTTTTTTTTTACTACGTTAGGAAAAAATACTACTATGAATTCAATTCAAAGTAATTTAATGAAACCCATTAACGATGAAGAGAAAAATATGAAAATTTCTATGGAATATTTCGACAATGTTATTATATTACATTTATTGTGCTGTCCATAGCACCTCACTAATTTCCAATTTCCGTTTTCGTGTGTTCAACACATAAAATATGATTAATGGTCAATCAGTTCAGAAGCTGGCATGTCATTTGAATATAAAAGAACGCCTACTCGAAATAAATAGTTTTGAATATTATGACGAAAGGGAATACAATGTCTTGGGAACAAAACTGTGAGATCGCAATTTGTAAATTCTTTTATAAAACAGGCAAGTTGTTCAACTATGATACACATAATCACTATTTTAACCAAGGTCAGGCGGTTTTAGTTACCAACTAGCGGTTGCTCGCGACTTCAGTGATTAACGAGGAATGAAAAAAAAGCAGTAATAAAGTTACTCGCGCACACATAAGCTACCATCCAGTAACATTTCTGTCAAAACGGTCCAGCCATTTTAAAAACTACCCGGGACAAACGCGAATTTGCGAACAGACAGACAGGCAAATAAAACAGATAGATAAAATAAAGGTTACCTTAAAATATGAATATTAGAATTGTATAATTTCACGAGAGGAGGCGATGGGACGCTCAGAACGAGATTTCTCCTTTTCTCTTCACTCTTTCCTTCACCAAATCAACCGCACTCACCCATTCCTGCCTAACACGAAAAGGGTGGGAAAGGGAAGAGGACTAAAAAGGATTGTTGTTTCTGGCTCTTCCAATGTTAAATAAAATTTGTCTTTTTGTCATATTTTGAACAGTGCTTAATTACAGGTGAGAACCTTGAGCACGATGTTATTAGGACAGGACACCGATAAATCAACCCTTGCATAGAATGTGGTGCGCCGCGGTCACCGCGGTTGCCGCACGGATCAAACGCGGTCAGATTGCGGTCGCCGCGGTCACTAGGGGAAATTGTTGGGTCATACGTGAAAATTATTTATTACCTTTCACATTTAAGGGCAGGGTTATGAAATTACGCACCCGTGTAATAGAAATGAATGTATACCCTACCTTTGATGTAGGCAATTTTCACCTTGATTACATGAATTATTTTATAACATTATATGTGTAGTGTGTTGACTATGGTCTTAGTTGTTTCAAGGGCCAGCGTTGTGGCAGTCGCCACTCGACAGGCGTGCGAGGCGGTTGTGTGGTACGATTGACAGGTGGTGTTGATGAGCTGTAAAACCCCAAACTGCCGTAAAATGGCTAGATAAAAGACTATGTTCAACATTGTAATGTTGCAGGAATAATGATAATAATGTCCATTGACTACTAGTCAAATTTTTGAGTCGAAAATTTCAAAATTTAAATTCATTTTTCTTCATACATTTCCGTAGCAAATCAAACATTTAAACAACGCGAACGTTATTATCGAGGACTCAAAAATGCAATTAACAGTTTCAATTCTATTCTAAGCGCTGCGAATAAAAAAGGATAAATACGAAGCAGCAAAATTTAGTTCAATCGTGGACTCAATAAAAAAGTAACTAGATTCATATCGTGGAAGTTTAAACTGTTCGAACAGACGGCGAACACACGCGATCTGCAGTGTTTCGTTTTCTCCTAATTTCCCCAATTCAACGAGACATCGTCCAGTGCAAAATTTGCAACCTTAAATTTCATTGCGCAAAGAAAAAATTTAAATGAACTAAAAAAAATCTATTATCTGTACTTCTATCATTTGCAAAATCTATTAAAAATGATTCAATTATTTTTTACCATCCAGAAACCAAATTTCTTACTAATAACATAGATATAAAAGTTTAGATGGATGTAGGATTGTTAGTAAAACGGATTTTGTTGAAATTTGAGACAGTTGTAGTCTGTAAGAGCACATAGTATGGTTATAAAGTTTTTTTTAGATTACCGCCCGGATAGAGTCGCGGGCAACAGCTAGTGGATCTATAAAAGTAATTTTTGCAATCGCAGAACCTGATTGTGAAAAATATGATAAAAATCTCAATGTCAATATTACTATCCGCGAAGTAAGCGCGGCCCCCACTGATATCTAGGTCAAAGCTTTGAATGATGCTGAACTGAAAAATAGTACAGCGACCGAGATTAAATTAAAACAGACTACAATTCATTAAACAGATTAAGCTGAGCTATGTTAATCACATTTAAATATCTCAGTTCCAGCCTACTTACATTAATGCTTACGGCTCGAGTAAACGAGTGGAAAGTTAAATGTAATTTTACATTACGAAATTCTGGATACGAATTAAGTGGAGTGCAAACTTCTGTTTGGTTGTTTATATTTTAACTTAGGTTGATAGATTAACTATCGGTACACTTTAAGGCCCTACTTATATGACACAATTACAACGAAAGTTGCTATAATATAATGATGGAAAACCTTCGTTAGGAGATGATATCAAAAGAAGAAGAAGCAAAGAAACTAATACTGTGTCCTTGCATTGCGAGTGTCGCGATGCGTGAGCTCCCTACACATAACGATGAATCGATGAAGCGACTTAATGAACTTATAAATATTAGGCCAACAAAATTATGGAAGTATAAAAGTTCGATTAAATTTCCATAAAACGAAATAAATCTAAGTCTAAAGTTCTATGTTTATGAAACATGCACAAAAAATTGACGGACTTTCACAGAAATAGAAATTGAGCAATTTAGTTTGAAAATCACTTTTTAGGTGTAATTTAAAAAGTCAGAATTGAACAACAAAACGAGTTGACACCTCCGCCGTTGGCAGTAAATTATAATGCAGTTGCTCATCAAACATGCAAACGTCGATTTCAAAGACAATTAGCACTTCGTGGAAATAGCCGGACTGTTATATCGATAGATTTTTAAAATAGATTGTTTTTAAATAGAAAATGATCAGACAGACAACTTTAATAGAAACGAGTTACAACACTAGTATTAACGATAATCTCAAAATAATTATTCTAAGCTGAATCTTACTGAATTAATACATACTGATACGTATCACTCGATGTATGTAATTACGGAAACGATTACCGCATAGTTTATTTACGGGGACGACAATGATGGGGGTTTTATACCGCAAACCTAATGCGGTGCCAATGCCGTTGTTTGACCGCGCAGTACACAGAACTAATACGTCGATACAACCGACAAGGGAAGCGCGAATTCGATTATATTTCCCCCACGGTGACACTTCAACTGTATCAGGTTTGGGGGTGTTGCAATTAGTTGTATGGTAAATTAATTTCAACCTTAACACGGTACAAAAGAGTACATTTTGGTGTAATCAGGTTAGTTAATGTTGCGTGTTTTTGATGAATTATTACAATAACTTGTCATGAAAGTGTATTAACAATCACAGAATTATTAGCAGGTTGTCGAAATTCTTAGTTTGAACTTACTCCATCATCAGAAAACTGTCTTGTATCAAATTCCACTTCACTGTGACAAATGCTCTTACCATTGGATCTGGAAAAATAAAGATAAAATATTGTAAAATTTTCATAGAGCATCAAACAGAGCAGTATTTTAGCATTTAGCATTAAAAGCAATACTATATAAATGTAAACTAAAAGGAAAGAAAAGCTTTCATTTTGAGTTTTTCATTTGGTTAGTTAGTTGCTTTATTTTCCTATCTATCCCTTTTCCCAAAACATGGCAATATATAATTTACTATTCTTTGTCTTAGTACTTGTTACTATTACTTGTGTAAAACCAAAAATATACGTTAGTTTTATTAAAGAATTCGTCGGTATCCGACTTAGGCGTGGTCAGTGGCATACTGTTCAGATCAAAGAGGCCGCCCCGTCACAAATGCGTTTCTGCCGTGACTGCTGTTAGGTTTACGGATATTAAGGCAAAAGCCTCGATTCAAAGTTTCACCGTTGCTTTATTTCGGGTCGGATATCGTATCGGTCGTAGGATCTCAACCCCGAAATGCGATTAATGACGAATCATATTTTCCCAAGCGCTACGTATTTACAAGGAGCTTGATAACGCGAATAAAATAAGGTTAGAGATCGATTTTCCTCGGTTTGTTTTAGTTTCTTTTGTAAGATTTACAAATGTATTTAGCAAGTCATGTTTCGAAATGGAATCAGAAATCATTGTATTAAACATAACTACGAACACTTCTATTTACTTTTATAATCAACACAATTTGCCAAATGTTACTTCAATGTCCTAATTGTATTTATAAATATACAGCTGTTGCTCTCAACTCCATCAGCGTGGAATTAAAAACAAAATTAATAAGTAGCCTATGTGTTCTTCCAGACTATACTCTATATGTGTACCAAATCTCATCAAGATCTGTTGAGCCGTTCCGGAGATACCGTCTAACATCCATCAATCCATCCATCTAAACTTTCACATTCATAATATTAGTAAGATTTACTTACTCTAGCCTCTCTTCCTTCATTAAATGTTCCATACTCCTCCTATCCTTAGACTTATCCCTTTCTAATTCTCTCTTGATTTTTCGTAAAATGATAGGCTTATGAAAATTTATAAATAATGTTTGTCCTGTACCCCTGTCTATATTCCTAAGTCTATGCACATCAATAATCATTATAATGATTAGGCATTGCGGTCGTTGTTTGTCGACCACACTTTAATTGGCTTTTGCAGCAAACACTAGGGCGTTGTATGGAACAATTATAGGACAATAAATTACAATACGTGTATTTATATTGCTATCGGAAATGAACAATACAACTGGAATGTTGAATGCAAGTTATAGACCACTTTATTAAAATGTTAAATGATTATTCTATTAAATTATTCAAACTTTCGTGAGACATTATGCTAAACTGATATATAAACACGGCTTAACACTCATGTTTATTCGTCCGGTGACGGCACCGACTAGTTTCGAGCCCATCGGGGGCCCTTCGTCAGGATGAATGGTACTGGTATTATTTCGCGGAGCGACGGGCCGCGAAACTAATCGGTGTCGCCACCGACCGAATATACGTGAGTGTTTAGCCGTGTTTATATATCAGTTATGATTATTCTAGATTCTAAAATTGCCTAGAAGATATAGTCAAGCAATAAAGATTCGGATTGAACTTCTTGATAACTTGAATTGGATTAAATGGTATGCCTATTATAAAAGAGTAAAAGATAAATTTCGTAGTCATTTGAGCTTAAGTGACTACAAAATCTCAAGTTATTACCGTTGGGCTTCCTGTATTGGTATTTTATTTAATTATTCTAACTTTGAACGTTTATGTAAGCGAAGAGTGAGTCAGCAGATTTCAGTGAGTTTTCTACAAATGTTAGTTTAGGATTGGGTACAGGATGTAATAAAATCGTGTTTAAATATTAAAGAGTCAAACTTTATCTAATTAATTTTAACTTAACTAGGAAGTGATTATTAAATATATTTCAGTTATATCTATTTAATGTACTTGTCGTTTTCCTGATAGTAAATAACTTAAACTTAAATTTAAAAATACCGACTACATGAGGCTGTAATGAAAGACGTAGTCCTTCTTTTGGTTGCTTTTTAAAACAATTACTCTAATATTATAAAATTTTAAATTAAACAAAATAAAATCTAATGTTATGTCTAACACTTTCTTAGTCTGGAAGAACACAGTCTACTTGCTAAGTTTTTTTTACGGAGTCGCAGGCGGCTAATGTAACATATTTTTGCATTTAGACTTCATTTTAAAATACCATAAAATACAATACCGTATACTTTAGAATTGCATTGATAGTAGAAGAGTCTGCGTCCACTAATGAAGGCTTGTCAATCAGTCCATTTGTCTGTCTGTCACATGCCGGTACAAATTAGTGACAGCGTTCGAATCCCTGTTAATGATCTTGTCTATAACATGTATACCATCCACACCAGTTTGGTACATACAATGAAATTGCTTTACAAATTGAACCTTACTGGTTTGTGATAAAGTCGAAAGTGATATCGATGTAAAAACTGCTCAGTCATAGCTGTTGCGTACACTGTACTCACTATTGTTAAATTGATGACGTACTGTTTTACGTCACTCCCGTGTATGGGAATGAATTTAAATTGAATTATAATAAATTATAATGAAATTAGTTATTTACATAAACAAGTGAAATATTAATACGCGAGTGTCATTTAAAAAGTAATTAGCTATCGCCCGCGACTCTGTCTGCGCGGAAAAATAATTAGTTGTCTATGTATTATTCCAGATTATGTTCTACGTATGTTCTACTTAAATATCCAAACATTCGTATTAATATTAGTAAGATATATCTTTTTTTAATTATTAATTCTCGAATCCAAATTGTTTGCTTTATTTATTCAATATATAATTAAAAAAATAATACAATGAACAAGTCATATAACGATTTGAATTCCAAGCAAGTCCTACGCAAACCGATTTAAAATAAGTTAAATACTAAGACGATATCATTATGAAAAATTAAGGTTAACCCAACAGTATTATACAATGAAGTCACGTCATATACGTTAGATAGGAGACCGCGCCCTCTGCCGGAGAGCTCATTAAATTCCCGAATTGTAAATCTTGCCTCACCATCTAATTGTACTAGCAACAAACCAAAAGCCCCTATAATATTATTTTAACGCCGGCGCCTTAACAACCGCAAACTACTACTTAATTAACTATAAACAATAACTCAATGTTACTTTATGATATTAACTATAACATTTAAAATTTTACGAACTATAAATAAAGTTTAAGTATTGAAAATTTAATTGAGCAATACCAATAAACTTCAGATGAGCTGCCCCAAGTATTATCTTTTTATGAACTGTTAAATGGTTACTAAGCGACTTAGTATAGGACTAAGAACTACTTAATTAGTAATTTAACAAGCCTTAATGTAGCCGTATGTCGTTTTTAATTTCTAGCTTAAGCCCATGACTTCGCACGGATTAAAAAAAAACTGGATGAAAAGTGTATTTTATTCGACAGTATGTTCTATACATGTGTTATAAAATATGTTTTTAACCATTGTAGAGTTATCATGTAAATATATAAACGATCATCATATGTGTTCTTTTCACAACATTCACATTTATAATATTAAAGATCTGGATGTCCGAGCTTTGCTCGGTATTTTTTTTTAATTGTGTTTTTTGGAAATTATATCTAAGTACGAATTACTAATAAAATTATGAAATATGAATAGAATTTTTCGATCTTACCGATAGAAAAAGTTAAGTTTATGTTTAAGTTGATTATCGATAAAACACGAATAAAATGACATTTTCTAAAAATGATTCCTAGCTAGATCGATTTATCGCCTCCGAAACCCCCTATATACTAAATTTTATGAAAATCGTTGGAGCCGATTCCGAGATTCCATTTATATTTTATATATATAATACAAGATTTGCTCATTTAAAGATATACGATAAGACGCAAGTAAAATAAGAGTGAATTAGTCACCAATTGAGAGAGATTAAATAAAAAATCAATGTACAAACTATATATAACATATCCCGATCGTTCCGATACGGACATATTAAAGTGACAATTAAATCTGTCCGTCAGTTGTCTAGCATTGTACCCCACGCCTAACAATTCATAGGATTCGATCCGGCGTATAGATAATACGGAAATAGTTTAATGCATTCAAATGAAATCGCTAAGAAAAATTTAATTAAGATACGAATAACATCATGACGATGTTTGCTTTTTAATGAATCATGAAATAAGTAATTGAGCAGAGTTTACTCAACTGAAAAGTTAAACTTAGTAGAATATATCGGAGAATATTTTTTCAGGGAAAAAATACTTTTATATGTGAGAACTGGAATATTAAAAGCATCGCTAAAATAACATGTGAATGTTTAGATGGATGAAGATATCTCCGGATCGGTTTAATGAAACACGATGAAATTTGGTATATATGTAGAACATAGTCTGGAAGAACACATGGGCCACTTATTAAGTTTTTTTTAATACCGCGTGGACGGAGTCGCGGGCGACGGGTAGTGCTGTTGTGAAAACAAATGAAAATCAGTTTGATGTTTTAGATTAACGTTAAATTGAATGAACACTGATTATTTGTCATCAAATGAACCGCTTGCTCATTTCAAATGTTAATGTCGATAGAATGACCTCATTATACCACTAACCCAGTTAAAGGGCCTTTTAAATAATTCCGCCAAATGTGGTTCAAATCGACCAATTAAAAAGGTTTCTAACATAATTATAGGGCCAGTTTTGGTAGCGTTGCAGCTTTTCAAGAAACCAGTTTCTTCCGGTATAGGGCAGATTGTTTTTTGACATTCAGATTCCATTTTTGTGGAGAAGCCAGAGTGTTGGAGCCATAATTATCATTAACAGCAACAATTAAACTTATCTATAAGCATATAAACAAGGATTCAAATCACGATAAGCAGTTGACGTATAGTGAGCTGATGAAGTCGGCAACACCCGTGGATTACTGACTTATAATTATAATAAGCTTTTAAAATACAGGAGCATATGCTTTTGCTAGTT